TTAGTTTTCCCAGGTGTATTAACAGGGACCTGGGTCAGAAATGAAACGGCGCCCAAATGGGAGGTCAGCATTGCAGTAGGTGGCACTGCCCACTGCACCATGGGGCTGACCCCTGGCATGAGCTCCTGGGACCAGACCTGTTCACCCTGCACAGCATTTGCTGTGTGCCCTTTGGGGCTGGCAGGCCTCACCACTGTCAAAGAGATGCTTCTGGCAGCCTTGTTTGACGTCAGCATTTGACTTTGATCAGGATGCTTGGGGCTCATTCCTGGAGTTGGTGTTACCCTCCTCCTGGAGTGGATGCCACCCTCTTCTGGGGTCCTATTGGCAATTTCCCCCCAAGATCCTGGACTTTTAGCTATATATGCATTTTCAATGAACTTGAAAGGCAGAGTGAGAGCTCAAGCCCACTAGTTTACTCTCCAAATGGCCACAGTGGGCAGTTCTGAGCCAGGCGAAAACCAGGAGACTGGAGCCTCTTCTGGGTCTGTCATATTAGGGGGCAGAGACCCAAGGAACTGGGGTTATCATCTGCTGCTTTCCCAGGCTTATTAACAAGGAGCTGCATGGGAAACAGAGTAGCTGGGACATGATCCGTGCTCATACCAGGTGTGGGTGCTACAGGGGGGGCTGAACCTGCCATGCTTATTCTTAAATGCTGGACTGGGAGCCTGGGTCTTTGAGTCTGGGACAGTTAGTATGCGCCTGCTGTGTACAGTGTTTCTGTAAGCACCCATCCACTGGGGGCTGCCTTGGTGTTTTCCTCATCTTTCTTTACTGCAACCCCTGTCCACGCGTGGTGGGGCACACAGCCAGGGAGCCCCAGAAAGTTGCTGGGGGAGCCTTCAGCATGCTCAGGGCCCTGCCTGTTGTGGCCTGCTTCCTAATGGCTCTCTTGGTCACGCTGCCACTCCCGTCTCGGAAACCCCAGGTGCTTTCCTATTCCGGAAAATTTGTATCTTGTGGTTTTTGTGGTTAAAAGAAAATGACACCACTAATGTGAACTGTCCCCTTGGAGGCCCTCGGGGCTGAGCTGGCCGACCCGCTGTGGTTAGGCTGGGAAAGTAGCTCCGGTGCTCCTTGGGACTGCAACCAACTTTCCGAAAAGCATGAGTGACCTTCTCTCGCCCTGGTGGGAGCCATTGCACCCTGGGGCCTCTCTTGTTCTCAGCTCCACTCCACGCAGATCCCAAGCCTGTTGCGGTTCCTTTTGGGTACCCTGGCTACCCTTACAGAGACAGCAGCTTGCCAACTCACTGGGAAGCAGGTCCAGCATATGGGCTCCTCTCCCTTTCTGGTCTTAGGCACAAGTTGCCTGTTTGGGGAGCCGGCCCTGGGTGAAAGAGGCGGCCCTTTGGGTGATCTGGTGGGGCTCTTCAGTGGCCTTGAACTCCAGGCCTGCTCTCTCCTCCTGTCCAAGACGCTGAGCCTCCTAACTCAACACTTGCCCTGCAGGTGTCTGCTTTCCCACTCTGGCTTTGATAAACGCCCAGCTAGACTGCGTTGTGTGTGTATTTGTGTTTTTGTGAGCAAAACTTTGAAAAATCCAACACTGCCTGGGATCCAACACTGGACCAGAAGCACAGACTGGGATGCTGGCCTCGTGGAGTTGATGGTGAACAAGGAAACAGACACAGCAAAAAGCCTAAGTGTAAGGGCTGGAGCTGTGGTACAGCCAGTTAAGCTGCTGCCTGTACCACCAGCAACCCATACGACTACTGATTCGAGTCCTGGGCAGTCTTACTTCTGATCCAGTTACTTGCTAATGGCCCGAGAAAGCAGTAGAAGATGACCGAAGTGCTTGGTCCTCTACTACATCCACAAGGCAGACCTGAATTAAGCTCCTGGCTTCAGCCTGGCCCAGTCCCAGACATTGTAGTATTGAGGATGACCCAGCAGATGGAAGATCTCCCTGTCGCTCCTTCTCTCTTTCTCTTGCTCACGTTCTCTGTAACTCTACTTTTCAAATAAATAAGTCTCTAAAAACAGTTTACAAGTATAGTATGAGGTTTGAGCTGGACACTGCCCAGCTAGGGGAAGGCTTCCTAGAGGAAGGGCTATTGAAACTGAGCTGTGCAGACCCAGTGGTCACTAACAAGAACCCGCCTGCTGGAGGGACAAGAGCCCTGAGCTAGCAAGGGCTGGCCAGGTTGGAGGGGACTGATGAGCCCCGGTGCTGGCCCAGGCTGAGGCCAGGTTGGCCATCTCTGCTGGCTGAACCCTTGTGTCGAAGGATGTGTTGTGAATCACTCCCAGAGGTGTGGCCCCCACACTGCTGACAGATGGTCTTGATTGCTGTTGCTGCGTCGTGAGCCCAGCCGCCTCTGCTGATGTGGAAAACAGCGGCTTTTGAGTGTGCACAGCTGTTTGGTTTGTGGTCCTGTCTTTGATCAGCCCTTTGAAGCTGTGATCTGAGTTCTTAGGGTTGGAAGGACCATCCATGGGGCTCTGGAGGCGGTGGGGGGGCAGTTCTAAGTGTGTCCTGGGCCATGTACAGTAGCAGGTGGAGGTGTGGTACAGAGCAAGGGGAGCCAGGGTCCCTGTCCCAGGCTGCTATGACGGGGGCTGGGGGGGGCTCACCTTTCCCCAGGCTTCTAGGTTGTGGCTCTAGGGGAGCTAGTCCTTCCTATTTTACAGGTGAGTGACCCCAATCTAGAACAAAGGAAGTACCTCGAGGTTACAGCTAGTTTGTGGGATGTTCAAACCTGCTTCTGTTCAGCTTGGAGGCTGTCCAGGCACTGGGTCTCCATCTGTTGAACAAGACCCTAATCACAAGTGCCCACCTTGAGTGCAAGGCACCCTGTGGCCTACAGCATTCATAATCCAGATGCTGGGAGTGGAGAAGATGAGGCCAGATGCAATATGGGGAGTCTAGATGAGGGAGAGCCTGCTAGCCGGAAGTCTGAACAGGGGCTTGGGGTGGGGAACTACAGAAGGGCTCTGGTAGGCACTGGCTGTGGGTGTGTGTTTGAGGGCAGGGCAGTACCCGGAGCAGAGCGGGCTGGCAGTGAGCCCAGACTAGCAAGGTAGGGCCCTGATTTGGGAATTTGCCTCTGGTCACTCCCTGGGGGTGGGGATGGCAATCAGAGTGGGGTGAGCCTGGGTGAGGGAGAGGAGTGTCGGCTTTTACCTGTGGGGTGAGATCCTATTTGTGAGCAGAGCACCAGGTTCCGTGACAGCTGACTTCAGAGCTGTGAGCCTCAGTGGGATGTGCATGAGTGATAGATTAGCAATGCCTGCCATGGGTGCCAGAGGGGTTTGCAGTTGCAGGTGTGGCCCTGGATGGCCCCTGTGTGCCTGATTTCCCCAGACTGTCTGCAGTAGGAAGATTTTGATTCCCAGCAGGTTGGCTCTCTAGTGGTCATCCTCACTTGCCTCTCAGCCCCCTGGCAACCATGAATGCACAGGACCCACACGAAAGGGCCAGTAACCCTGGGTAGGAAGCATCTGGCTCCATCAGCTTGTTATGTGGGTGAGCCTGGAAGGCTTCAGAAGGTGTTGTTGTCATTGTGAGTCTGATAGTACCCTTGCATCCCTCCGGCCATGCGTGGGAGGGTGGGGAGTAGTGCCTATGGACAGAATTCAAGGAGACCCTGGCTGGATGGAGAGAAATGAGGCTTTGTTCCCACCAGTTTCTGCTGGAATTTGTTATGTGGTTCAGTTGGGTTTAGACAAGTCACATCCATCTTTGCAAGGACTACTGGCTCCATCTCCAGTGTGAATCACAGCTATTGTCTTATCACATTGATACCAATCTGCTTTTTGTTACTTGAGATTACCAAAGGGAGGGGCTGGCATTGTGGTGTAATGGGGAAGGCTGCCACCTGCTGTGCACACATTCTGTATGGGCACTGGTGTTTGTCCTGGCTGCTCTGCTTCTGGGCCCTGTCAGTGCACCTGGGAAAGCAGTGCAGGACAACTCAAGTGCTCGGGCCCCCATGCTCATGTGGGAGACGTGCAAAAAGCTCCTGGCTTGGGCCCAGTCTTGGCCGTTGCTGCTGTCTGAGGGGAACAAACAGCAGATATAAGATTTCTCTTGCTCTCTCCCTCCCTCCCTCTCTCTTTCCTCCTTGTTCCATAAATCCGACTTTCAAATAAATAAATAGCCCATGGGAGCTTCTTTGGAAAACAAAGGTTTGTTTGAGCTCACAATCCAAGACAGAGTTCAGTGGCCCCAGAGTCCTGCAACTGATGGAGGCTTCTCCAGGCGGGGTCACCCAGTGAGGCAGGAAGGAACCAAGACCTCTAATGAGAACCAGCCTCTGAGGCCCCAGCCACTGGAGGGCCCTCCCTTTCTCTGTTGAGCATTGTCATGAAGACATGGGAGTGCGAGCAACTGTGTGAGTTTCAGAGAGACTAACCCTGCTATGCTTGTCACCACAGGAAGGTTCTGGGGTGAATGAAGAGGCTGCTTTACACTTGTCACAACTTTCAGGTTGGGTTGGTTGTCAGAGCCACTGCTAGTTTTATTCATACTTTATAAATAAGGTTCATTGCTGTTGTCACAGTAAGTGGTGTTTCCATCAGTGCATTTAAGCATAATTGATGCCCTTGGTCCTCTTCTGCTTTGTTTTACGTGCATAGCAGCCTTGTTCTGGAGAGACTGCAGGATTCCCCAGGAACTGCAGTGTTTCCAAGAGAGCTGAGTGACTTCTCCAACGTAGGGACTGAGCCCAGCCCGGGAAGGCAGGAAGCATCGTCGTGGGAGGAGGGCTGCCTACCTGCTGTGGACCCCCACATCTTCCCCATTCATATTTCTGCTGAGACCCCAGCAGTGAGGTCTCTGTCGGCCAGCACAGCCCATTGCTCTCTTTGATCCTTGTGGTCCTAGCATTGGGCGGTGACTCCCAGGCTCCTTGCCTGCCCTCTTCCTGCCCTGTTCCGGGGAGTCTGCCACATACCAGTTTGTTGTCTGTGTGAGAATGCCCCCATAGCTGGCTTGAGAGGCCATGTGCTTGCGTGCTACACCATGACTGAGGTTATCCCTCCTTCTCCCACAGGCCAAGCTGGTGCGGTACATTTGCAAGCAGCGGCAGTGCAAGCTCAGCGTGGCTGCCAGCGAGCGGACCCCAGAGCTCGACAGCTACCCCCGCTTCAGTGACTGGCTCTACATCTTCAATGTGAAGCCCGAGGTGGTGCAGGTATGTGTGCCAGGATGCGGGCAGGGCTGGGGGCATGAAGGGCTGGGTAGAGGAACCAGCCAAGGGCTGGCTTCACCACAGCTGAGACCCGGGAATGTGTGAGGAGGGCGTGTGAGAGGGGAGCAGACAGCAAGCGGGTCTAGCCTGGGAGCTGCCACCATCTTAACCAGATCTGCCTGACCACTGAGTACTCAATAGACAGCAGCCAGCTTTTCCAGAAGCACAGGCTGGGTGACAAAACACAGCCTGGATAATCTCACTTCCGGCAAAATCCTACATAATGCTTACTGCTACTTGGCATTTTAAGCTTAAGGAAATGACAGCACAGAATGGTTAAGCACTTTACTTTAGATGACACAGCTGGTTGGAGATGCCCCTGTCACACTCGCGTCCTGTAGCAGAATGGTTGGGTTGGTGACCCAGCTCCATCTGCTATCACACACCCTGCGAGGCAGCAGTGATGGCTCACACAGGTCAGTCTCTGCCACCCACATGGGAGACCTAGATTCAGTTCCAAGCTCCTGACTTTGACCTGGCCCATCCCTCACTGCTGTGGGCATATGTGGGGAGTGAACCAGCAGATGGAAGATCTCTATGTCTTTGCTTTTCAAATCAGTAAGTAAAAATTATACAAATCCTTTTGTAAATTGAAAGTCATACAACTAGTGAGTGGTAACTTTGGACATAAAGAATGAGAATTTAATTTAAAATGTGTCATTTTTCTTCCTTTTGTTTCCTTTCCCATCCATCCATCTCTGCTACCCATTACCACCTGTCCAACATGTTGCCGGTGAACATGAGGGTATGCAGTGCCAGGCTCCCAGTTGACGGTTAATTGGTACCTGGGGGACTTGCTTTTTCCATCTGGTAAATCCACTCCTTCCAGGCTGAACTGCGAAGGCCAAGTTCAGGCTATGGTGTAGAAATGTGAATGTGTTCTAGCTGGACCCCCTACAAAACTGAAAAGGCAGGGGCAGTCGTTGCATACCCAGCACTCAGGGAAGACTCCACAACCACTGAGCTTTCTGTGTTCCCTCCTAGTCTTTTTCTCAGTTTCCTAATGCAGGAATCTTTTTTGAAATTGCTGCTAGCTTAGTACTGGGTTGTTCCATGAGGTCACACTGACTGTGTGCGGATCAGCACTGGGTGCAGGGCTTGTCCGCACGGAGACGAGCCGGAACGCCAGCTGTGTGCTGGGAGATGAGAAAGAGCAACAAAGAGGGAGAAGGCGTTGCATTCACCACACACTTCTCATGGCTACAATATCCGTGGCTGGGCCAGACCAAGCCAAAACCAGGTGTCTGGAACTCTACCTCAGCCCCCATGTGGGTGGCCAGGCACACAGACAGGCACAGTAACAGGGAGCTGAATTGGAAGCAGAGCAGCCAAGACTCAGATGTGGGATTCTGGCGTCACAAGCAGTGGCTTGACCTCTTGTACCACATGCCCCATCCCTCTTATTTAAAAAAAGGGGGGGAAAAAAGCCTTTTTGAAATACGGCAGCCTAAAAATTAAAATGTTAAGTATGTGGCTTGCACTAATTTCTGTTGGGCAGCCTTGATTTAAACCATCCTGAATAATAATTTCATGTTTTGTTCCTGTCATTTGGCTTGCTAGTCAGCACATTTTTCTGTTTCATGTTGTACTTATGATTTACTCATGTTTTATTGAGCACATATGCAATTACTAGGCCTGGGTTAATTCTAGCTGTTGGCTTTTAGCTCTAACCCAGAAGTGAATATTATTTATGGGGCTATTTGTATACTTAAGAATTTTCCCTGGCAGAGATTCCTGGGCAGAAAATGACATCAGCATCAAAAAGTTCCTGTCACGGGGAGTGAGAGGGTTAAGTGAGGGCCCCACAGGATAACTGAGCACCCGGAGCACTTGGCACCTCAGCCTTGCCTGGAGCTGCCCCAGTCCCAAAGGACCCTCCCATCTGTGACAAATGCCAGCTGCCAAGTAGCAGGTGGGGTCACCGTGAAGGTGACCAGGAAATGGTACCCCGTAAGACAGGTCCCATGAGCCCTAGTAAGCAGCCACACACCTGCCCGCGTGGGCTCGCGTAGGGAGCAGTGATCCTGCACTCCCTACCCAGCTGCCTGCCTCCTTGCGCCCTGAGTGAAAAAAGATGCTGACTTTGGAGACTAGGAAGAATTGGGCGGCCTCCCAGCCTGGTCCCACTCACCACCTCCCCTCCCTAGGATTCCAGAGAGAAAACAGCTTCTCACAGTCACATCTTGGGCCTCCCACAGCCCGTCAGAGCCAGTAGTGGTGACAGCCCAGCGTGCTGGGCTCCAAGTTGTGGCACACTGGTGTTCTCAGCTTTGAGGCACCTGTGTCCAGTGGTCTTGCTCCTCAAGGGTTTTCCTTCCTGATGTAAAACATGCATGTGGAGTGACACAGCTCCATCCAAGCCCCTCTAAGGAGGTTGGCTGTCGGAGCTGTTTGGGCCCTGGAGAGCTGTGTAGTGGCAGCTGGGACCTGGGTCATCCAGCCGGGCCCATGGCTGTAGTCAGGCATGTTGGATGCACCAAGTTACATATAATACAGTGGAACCAGTGATCAGAGAAAGCAGTCAGCAAGCTCGTTTATATCCAGGGGGGAGGCAGGCAGGACGACCGAACAGCCAGACGGAGTCTAGGAGCCAGGGGCTATCTTAGTGTGGGAAAGTCAGCAGAGAGCTCTGAGATCAGGGCATGGCAGCGGGAGCATCCCCAGCTGCCCTATAGTCTCTGCTTAGAGACAGCGAGGCAGCTCAGACAGGGCTCCGGATCTTCCCTGGCAGGCAGGCAGGCATTTGTGCACACACACTCTCTCCTCCCTCTCCCCTACATCATCCCCCGCCTTTGTACATGGTCACATAACCCTGCCAGCGGCTCAAGCTACAAGCCTTCCTTGTAGCCATCCCTGTCTGTCCCCTTGCCCTCACTCTGCACAACCTGTGGCTCTCCTCCTGAGACACTGTCCACCTGTCCATCTCTGTACCAGCACAGCACAGTGGTCCAGGCTGCCCTTGTCTGTGGCCCCAATTCTTGCAGCATCCTTTTCCCCACTCTCCATGCTGTGTACCTCCCTCATTCCGTTTCATCGAACAGACGAACGATAGCTTCCAACCCTGATCTGGTCTTGCGGTTTCCCCTGCTGTTTCTCCCAGATGCCAGGGTCCTCACACAGTGTAGCTGCTGTTGAGGCTTGCTCACTGCTTCTCTGTTCTCAGGTCCCACCCTGACTCCCATCACTCTCCCGGGAGTCCTCTCGGTGACGCATTCATGGACACCCTCCTCATGTCAGGTCCATTGTCTTCCTCCCGCAAGCTTCCCTGTGGATTCTAGTGAAGATCATCCCCTCCGCCCCCCCCCCCCGATTCTCTGCAAGTGCACCATGGTTTATTCGTTCAGTGACCTTGAGTGCTGTCTGGGAGTGTCGGACTTGCTCCTTGTATCTGGTCTGCTTGCCAATCGTGGAGTCAGCTCCATGAGACAGGACGCTCACAGCTGGGGTTTGTTTGCCCCAAGGTGGCCTCTGGATATTGGGCCTGTAGGACAATCCCTTGACTGAGATTCAAACACAGATGTTTATCTACAGAATGAGTGACTGTCTTGACACTGTGGGTGTGGTTCTGAGAGGGTGGTGGCGGGTCCCTCTTGGCTTTGGCTTTGAGCCTCGCAGGAGTGGCTGCTGGAGGCGCCATGGCCCCAAAAGGCTGCCTTTCTGCCTGTGCCCTGATGCTCCTCCGCGACCTCCAGGAGGAGCCTGGGAAAAGTCGCTGGTTTCTGAGCTGCACCTGTGTGGGATCTGGGGCCCTCCAAGCCACCTGCTCGTTCCACTGCAGGCTGACACACGGCCCACATCTGGTGCGAGGTGCAAGGTGCTCTGATGTTCCACATTGCTGTCTTAGCAGGTCCCACTTCCTCCATTCCACAGTTTTAGAAATGGGTCCAGGGGACATGTAATAACTCACCTAGGACCTCAGAGACAGTGAAGGACAGAGCCAGATGCACCCACCTGCCCCTCCAGGGAGATGTGACTGCAAGTCCTGGCTCTCGCCATCTCTGTCTTCCTCCTCTTAGGGCACCTGGATTCTGAGCCTGGCTCTAGGAACCTGGCACATCCTTCCACCAGCCTCCCCCAGGGCCAGGTGCCTCATACTGTTTAGCTTCTGGTAAGCTTGCTCATCTCTTCTCTGCTCTCTGATTCCAGCCTTGCACTAGCCTTAGTTTCCATATCTGTAAGAGAGGAGAGAATTCATCACCACCTGCTGGTCCCTGATTGGGAGGGTGGAGTACTCCAAGGCTCAGACATAGTCACGGGGTGAAGAAGGCAAAGTGAGGTGGTATGCCCATCCTCGGCTGCGGTCCATCCCAGGCGAGCACAAACCCTGTGGGAGACATTGAGAGGAGTGGGCTGGGATGCCAGGCTTCTGAGCTGGGGACAGTGGGAGTCAGACCCAAGCCGAGGACAGTAGGCTGAGCATTCACTTCCTGTCGCCTCACCACTGCCAAAGGCATCTTCCCGCCTGGTATCCTAACCTGTAGAGCTGGAGGGGATGGCCCCAGCATCCTTGGCCTGCAAGGACCCACTGGCTGTGTGTCTCTGTCTCTCCCACCCCAGATTTCTTGACTCTGGTTATGTGGAACGTGGTGCTGAGCTGCTTGCCTTGTTGCCCAGGTGGCTTCAGCCTTGGCTGCTGGGCGCACTCTCTCGGGTGGGTCCCTGTGTCCCTTCACATGCTCTGTCATTTCTGACCCTACGAGGTGGTCCAGCCTCTTCCTTTGTTTCAGTCCACGTGAGAACCAGCTCCATCTCCAGCGAGCCATGGCTTCGCTATACCTGTCGGTATGTTTTCAAAAACACCTGTGACATGAAATGTGCCATTTTAGTCATCTCTAAGCTTGCGGATCAGTGGTGTTGGGCACATTGGCATGGTACTGGGCTGTCATCACCACCAGAACTTTCTTCCCAAATGAACCATTGCTTTTCAAAGTGTCAGTTTTGTC